TTCCAGATGCTGTCATCATGAAAAACGCATGCAAAGCATTTTCCCGATACTCAAATGGACCTGGTCAGGGGTGGACTGACAACTCATGGGGCCCCCGGGCAATAGGGAATCACGGGGCCCCTGTGCACTTGTCCACACTCAAACCACACCCAAAAAGCCTATGAAAGGTACCAGAGGCATCTCATGGGGCCCCCTAAACTGACCCTGGGCCCTCGGGCAGTGCCCGAGTTCCCAAATGATCAGTCCGCCCCGGACTTGGTACACCATACTTTGAGGTTTCGCATGAAAGAAAATATGTTAGACACTGCTGCAATAATTTCTGCACAGAAATGAGCTGGAACACATCCAAACACCACAAAAAAAAACAGACAGCTTAATCTCAACAAATACTGCTCTCTCTGCTTCTGCTCTCTCTATTTCTCTCAAAATGTCTGAAACAGTACATTTTTTTACTGTTTTTCAGTGCATTCTGGGCATTTTGGAAGGTCTCCTGAGGTTCTAAAAGCAAACGCTCATAAACGCTGTATGCAAACGCGTCTAAACAGACGTTTTTTAACCTACATTTTCCAGCAGTCAGTTTCCAACGTTCAAAAGTTCCAGTGTACATGGAGCCTAATATTAAACATAAGTATATAGTATAAGTATATTAAAGATTAGTAATAGTACATACATCCAATGCACAAACAAATATTATCAGCAAAGGGCCTGATAGTCCTGGTGGAATTGTGTACACTGAAGCTCAGAAAAGCTGCTTCTTCAAGTGATGAAGCTGTTTTTTTCTCTGCTTGTAAACCCCCCCTCCATGTTAACCTATGTGTCCATGCAGACTATAGGCGTTTTCAGGAGTTTAGTGGCATAGGGGTTTACAGGCAGAAAAAATGCCCATGCATTCAGGGGAAGAACTTTTGAGCATAAAAAAATCTAGAAAACGTGTTAACATGCATTAATGTGCGTTAACGCACAGTATTGCTAAGTGTGTTAACATACGTTTCTGCTTTCCGGTGTTAATGCACTCTAATGATCAGGATTCTGGCCAATAGAATGCATCAATGCTAGAAATGTGAATGCACATTAACGCCCATACATGTGTTTTTTTTTTACCATGTTTTTGATGCTGTATACTCCTGTAGGAGAAGAAACATTTTTAAGCTCACAGTGTGCATAAAGCCATATTGTGCGCGGGTATATATAGTCAGAGGCGGACTGACCATTCGAGCACTCGGGCACTGCCCGAGGGCCCAGGGTCAGTAGGGGGCCCCATGAAAGGCCCCTGGTACATTTTATAAGCTTTTTTGGGTGTGCTTTGAGTGTGGGCAAGGAAACCTGGGCCCCATGATCCCCTATTGCCCGGGGGCCCCATGATTTGTCAGTCCGCCCCTGTATATAGTTATTAATAGAGATACTTCCAGATGAATGTTGCAGCAATGTCCAGTGGCAAGGGCCCCTGAGGAAGATGCACCTTCTCTCTTTGTGTCACAGACCTGAAGACAAGATCTGTGGTCATGGGGAGACCCTACAACTGTTGTTCTTCCAGCCTGGAAGTCAGATTCTTACTGGCAGGAACTGTGGTGTGGTACTGGAAATGTGGCACTGGAACTCAGAGTCAACCTATCTACTCTGTGCTTTAGTCCCTCCCTAATAATTTCTAATCTGACATGCAACTGCACCTCTAAGCTAATGATTATGAAGTGACCTTCAGAAGCTTAACCTTGCTCTAGGCTATGCTGATTATCGAGCCCTGAGCTAAAACTAGCTACAGAATCCAAGGCCAGAAGGGACAGGGTTAACTAGAATAACAGGAGCTACATATAAATCATATTGCAATAAACAAGTTCACCTACAAATATACTGGAAGGTGGCCACTACACATAGTGCATGTGAAATAATAACAAGGACAGGACAGAGACACTCTTTCTGTCACAATGATTAAGATATATACTCAGCAGCTGCAGTTAACCACTTGACAACCAGGCTATAGCCAAATGATGGCTACAGCGCAGTTGTCCAGCTCTGAGAAGGTGTCATTTGATGTCCTCCCAGAATGCGCCCTCCCGCACCCCCAGAGGTGTGAACCCGGCGATTTCCTATGTTCTATGGACACAGCTGATCACGTGATGTGGTAAAAGGCCAATCACAGCGGCCTTTTACCACATGATCAGCTGTGTCCAATACACAGCAGATCCCAGGCAGTTGCTAGTTGTCGTCTGCACTTTCCTGTCACAGCATGAGGAAAGTACTGCTGATCACCGGCAATTGTCAGAAAACAGATCGGCACTACAGTGCCCAGAAGTGCCACCCACCAGTGCCACCCACATGTGCCCAGCAGTGCCACCCACAAGTGCCAAACAGTGCCACCAACCAGTGCCTAACAGTGCCCCCCTTCAGTGCCACCCATCAGTGCTGCCCAGCAGTGCCACCAGTCAGTGCTGTCAGTCAGTGCCACCCATCAGTACCCATCTGTGCTGCCTATCAGTGCCCATCATTGCTGCATATCAGTGCAGCATCACCAGTGCCAGCTCATCAGTTCCTCCTGTCAGTGCTGCCTATCAATTCCCATCAGTGCTGCCTATATGTGCCACTTCATCAGAGACGCCTGTCAGTGCCCATCAGTGCTGCCTATCAGTGCAGCCTCATCAATGCACATCAGTTAAGTAGAAAAATTTCCTGTTTGAAAAATTTTATGATAGAGACAAAGAATTTGAAGAATTTTTTTTTCAATTTTTTTCTTTTTTTTGTTTATAGTGCAAAACATAAAACACCTAGTGGTTATTAAATACCACCAAAAGAAAGCTCTATTTGTGTGAAAAAAAATTATAAAAATGTCATATGGGTACAGTGTTGCATGACCGCGCAATTGTCATTCAAAGTGCGACGGCGCTAAAAGCTGAAAATTGTCCTGGGAAGGAAGGGGGTATAAGTGCCCGTAGGCAAGTGGTTAAACTATTAGATCATAGGAATACTTAAGGCATAATAGTCCCTTCTGGATAGGAGTTTAGCAGCATGAACAGGACATGTGGCTGAGATTTTCTCTCTCTCTCTACACTTCCTACTTTAGGGTTTCGAAGCCAACAACTCAGGGGACAGGCCGTGCATACCTAATTTATTCACAGGCATTAATAGCCATTTTCAAATTGAGACAGTAGAGGGCAGAAGATTCCTAAACTAGCATTTACTACATAAAAAAAATTGGGAAAAAAGGAAATTGTCTTTTTAAAATGGCTTCTTACATAGCAAATGTTAACAGCTGTCTGCTAATTATGCTAAATAAATCTCTATAGGGAGACAAGATTTTGTTAGTCAATAAATTTCAAAAGACCAAGAGATTAAGTTGCTTTCTTTATACTAATTAAACAACATGTATCAATTAAAAGTTGATCAATAATACAAATTACTTGAACTGCTGTAATGATTTTAACTGATGTGGCAAAACTACAGAAAAGACCAAAGTTCCCTAATTACCGGTATGTATTAAATTAGTGAACCTGTTAAGAAACACTAAAGCTAATGTTATTATTGATGTATATACCTGTAACATCTACTGCAGAGTTACATAATGTGAAGACACACGGAAGCTATAACAATAACAAATAAATACTTGTATTAGATTTACACATCACTTAGCATGCATGCACTGAACGTGACAAATATATAATTCTAGGTCTGCTTTAACCCTTTCATTGTTGGAGCCTTTTTTTTACATCAAAAACAAACTCAAACTCCCAAAATATCAATTTTCTACAAAATAGAGGACCCAAAGAATAAAAACATGATAGACGCAATTATTTGTTATGCTGCACAATATTAGCACATGTTATGATCCGCCAGGTGGTGCCTCAGGCTGCCAACTGACAGACCTACCCAGAGCGTGGGGTCTAAGCCCGGGCTGTGCTTTCACCAGGGCCCCTGATGGTGGGGATGGACTTGAAACAGTCCCGGGCCAGGTCACGACTTCTGAGCAGGCCCACCAGTGGCTGAAGAGACCTCCGGGGACGTATGCAGGTACCGGGAGAGCCAGATGTGAAGAGGATAGCGGCCCCAGCAGGGTAGTAATGGATCGTGGTCCCGTGGGGGTAAGCGGGGTACAGAATCGGCGGGCAAAGAGTAGGTCACACGCAGGGTCAGCAGGGTAAGTCAGTCCGTAGAATGGTCAGGGCAATCTGGGTCAATCACAGGAGCAGGCAGAGTAGTCAGGGCAATCCGGGTCAATCACAGGAGCAGGCAGCGTAGTCAGGGCAATCCGGGTCAATCACAGGGGCAGGCAGCGTAGTCAGGGTCAAACAGGGTCACTAGACGGGTGCAGGAACTCGGAATCACAGATAGACCTTGCGGCAATTACTGACAGTGCAGGGCATCTTTAAATAGTGCGCCCTGCACTGTCATTGGCCGCCGAGGACGCGCCCTCGGGCTGTCATTGGCCGCCCGAGGCGCGCGCTTCCACTGCGCCGCAGCTTCCACTGCGCATGCGCGGCGTCCTGGCGCCGGCCGACAGGACGCCGCGTTCCCTGACAGCACAACTGTTTATAAAATGTATATTTTCAACAGAAAATATATTGAAATAAATTTTACTGCACACAAACATAATAACATTTTCACATTTTTGTAATATATAAAAGACATCTCGTCTTTTATATATTTACAAACAGTAAAATGTAAATAGATACAAAATATTTAAATAGATACAAAATATTTATTTGGTGTACTTACAGTATACAGCACCGTCAATTTACACAGCACTTTACACATATATTGTACATTCACATCAGTCCCTAACCCTCAAGGGGTGTACAATCTAAGGTTCCTAACTCACATTCATACATACACATACCAGGGCCAATTTAGACAGTTAACTTACCAGCATATCTTTGGACTGTAGGAGAAAACCAGAGTACCCAGAGGAAACTTATGCAGGTACAGGGAGAACATGCAAACTCTGTGCAGGTAGTGCCATGGTTCTGATTAAAACCAAGACCCTTGTTCTTCCAGATAGAAATGCTAACCACTTAGCAGGGGCAGACTGACAACTCATGGGGCCCCGGGCAATAGGGGATCAGGGGGCCCCTGTGTCCTTGCCCAAACTCAAAAAAGCCTATGAAAAAGGTACCAGGGGCATCTCATGGGGCCCCCTACTGACCCCGGGCCCTTGGGCAGTAGCCGAGTTTTCAAATGGTCAGTCCGCCCCTGCCACTTAGCCACTATGCTGCCCAATATGTCAAGACTTTACTGTTGTGTCCAGCTATGAAACAGTGATAAACTAAAGCACCCATAATTTTCCATAGGTGGCCCTTTAAAAACATTTACAGTTCATTCATTAGAGTGAACAAAAAATAATGGCCTGCAATTACTACAGTGTGTGCAGTGATACCTTTGTTTTTTTAATTTGTAATATATTTTCTATCTGTTAAAAAATGTATAATATATTTTCAAATTTTAAGCACTTTTTACATTCACTTAACTCTGTTGCCAAAACAAGGGGACTGATGAGCCCCCTGTGTGATAACACATAGAGAATGGCAGGTACATGTTACAGAGGCATCAAGAGTCTCTTGGACCCCTAATATCTCCTCTGCCCCGTCTCCAGCTAGAATGAGTATAGACTTTATTTGTCTCTGAGAGTTCTGAACCTGGAAATGCTCAGTTCTGAGCACTTCCCAGTTCATTGCTGCTTGGGGAGATCGAGAAATGGGTGTTTCCTGTTTTCCCTTCACTTACCATCCTAATAATACCAATTGACATTCCAGCCTCATATGTCGGGGGGGCATCATCTCTAACATATAAAGTAAATGGACCATGCGAATCACTTCTATAAGAATGCCTCAAGCCAGCTAAATAAAACATAAACTCATGGCTGCATTAGAAATTTGTTCATATCCCAAAACTGCTGCACCATACTTATGGCAGCAGTAAAACGATTAGAGGACCACTAGCACAAACAATATTCTATTCTGACAACTCTTCTCTGTAAATACATCTAATTATTGTATTCATCATATAAATTCTTGTTGTTTCATAAATTCTTGTTATATTTTTTCTCCTTTTTCTGTATAGAGACCAAGCCTTCCAGCAAAACTGCCTGTTCCAGGGGTTGGGAGAAACTGTAACACTGTCAGGGATGGTTACAATGCCCACATTCTGTTAGCAAGACTTAAATTCTAAAAAAAATGCAACTCAGAAAGTGTTTAAGTTATTGGATTAGTATATCATGCAGACATATTGCATGTATAGGAAGTTAGGAATGGCAGAATACATACTTTAGTATAGGTTTTCATGAAGTAGGTTTCATGATGCATGTTTTAGATGGGTGTCAGGGTGTCCTTTGGTTAAGGTGGAATTATACTGAAGAAGTAAACATTTGCAAGCAGGAAGGCTCTTCTGCAAAAAAAAAAAGAAATAAAAAAACTGACTTTCCTGTTTGTAATCTAGAATGTACACAATTAACTACCTTCTTCATGACAGGCAGGGCTGCTGTTAGAAACCACGGGGCCCTGTACAGCCAACCTGACCAGGCCTCCCCCCCCAAAAAAACCCCCAGTTTACTATGCTTCACTTACGAATGAAAGTAGTGAGTGATTGGTACTGATCACTTATTGTGTTCATTCAGGAAAGAAAGGGTCTGGTAAATGTGACATATTTACCAGACCCTTCGCCCACTCTCTATCCTGTAGGATCCTATTGTGTGCTTGCAGCTGCCGATGGAAAGGAGCGGAGGGAAGCCAGCAGCACTGTGGGGGCACACAGGGGGACCTGGGTAGCATGGGGAAATGTATGGTGCACAGGGAGGGTTCTGGGTGCAGCAGGGCAGGGGGGCAATTACTGGAATCAATCCCCTGTATGGCTCTCTCTGCAGCAGCTGAAAGCCAGATTTCAGCTGCTGCACAGAAGGCCATACAGGAGATCTGTTCCAGTCATTCCCCCCCCCATCGTAGTGATCACCCTCCTTGCCCACATCTGATTCACTCAGCTGCCTGGGCCCCATACAGGAGGACTGGTGGTACCCCCTTATCCATGGCACTGATGACAGGTAAACATTTTTGTGTGATAAAGAAGGTGTTCCACGCAAAGTGTGTCATGGGCATGCTGCAGTCATTGGAGGGCATGGTAAAAGGTGGGTATTCCTAAAAGTCATGGTTTGTTTTGACACACCTTTCTACATTTTCCAGCACTAGCATCTATTGTGGATCTCTGCATTTGGCCGACATCTCAGAGCCCTAAAGGAAGTTGGTACTGAAAGATTTCCCTCTACCAGGTGCTGTTACCGCAGACCTGAATGGGGAGCTGTTAGCTATATAATGCCCAGCAGTGTCAGTGACTTTAGGTGTAGCTCTGATCGATGTCTGAATGCTAAAGTATCTTTTCATAGGGCCACAAGTCCTATATATCTTATTAGTACTGGCCCTGGGGGCAATTACCCCAGCCCAGCCCTCTCCTGCAGAAGCATAAAACAAATGAAACTTCCTGCAATTACCTGTAATGCATATATTTGAGCAGCGGAAAACTACAACGATTTGGGACTATAGCTTCTAGTATTTTACTTGTTAGCATGAATTATTATTTACCTTTAATTGATTAGATATGATGTATATTGGTAATATGCATTTGTAGTAGTTCAAAAGGGCATAGCAAAACCAAGTTAAGTCTTGCTAAAAAAAATGTTTAATTGCATTGTATTGGCTGTGAGCATAATATTTGAAAACAATACTGCAGGTCTGGTGCCTGTTACTTAATTGTTCTTGTGAAATTGGTAGTTCACTGTAAGCTCCATGTACGGTTGCAAACAGATGCTAGAACAGTAGATGTACACCTGGCTTCCATTCTTTAATTTTTCCTCTGGGCTGAGTTTGGTCATACAATGTACTTAATAGAGTCTCTTCCCATAAATGGAAGCACACATTCCTCTACACCTTATAATATACTGGAAAGTTTGCCTGAATTCTTTAGTTGGAACAGATTGTGTTTAATTTTTCCCTGTAAGGTTCCCTTCAGTTGAAATGACATGCATAAACAGATAGAGATCCTTGTAGTAGATATGGATGCTTGGCACAGTTGTTTGTCCACCAAAGTCCCCCAGCCTATTAGTGATTCTCTGGCTTAAGTACTTTATGGTGTGTCTCCAAGTCTGGGACCAAACAGGTGATAATGATTAAAGAAAACACACACACAGTAGTGATGAGCAAACCAATCCCCCAGACTGCCAGATGTCCGGATGGGTTCTGTAGCAGATTTCATATGAGGTTTTTGTTTAATGGTTTTTAAGAAAATAAAATGCTATAAAATCTTTTCCACAATGATATTAGCCCACGACAGGTAAACTAATGCAGGCCATAGACGGGTCAAAAACCGGCCGTTTTAAAAAAAAAAAAAAAAAAAAACGAAAAATCGGTCGTTCAATAGGTCCACGTTTCAACCAACAGTAAAAAAAATCAGCAGATTTTTGTCCCATCTACAGCCGACATTTAATTATTTCTGTCCCTGCAGAGAGCTCTGCTATTATATTTGACATGAAAAAGTATTGCGGTTGCAACAATGTATCTATTTGTATCCATTTCAGATACAGAGGTTTTTATTTGGATACAAATAGATACATTGTTGCAACCGCAAAACTTTTTCATGTCAAATATAATAGCAGACTGGAATTCTTCTTTTTCTTCTTCTTTTTCTTCTTGCAGGCCACGGCTCATGCGCAGATTTTTTTATCCGTAAAATGATAAGCCGATTTGCCCAACATTGCTGGGAAAATCGGCCAACCGGTAAAATTGTCCAATTTTTTTTCCAACTTCACCGATAAATAAAAATGTGCCAAAACCCCGAAAAACGTCCAACCAATTAACCCATTAACGGTGCGAAAATCGGCCGATTTTTTTTTCGGGCCGAAAAATCGGCCGATTTTCGACCCGTCTATGGCCTGCATAATCTATCTGAATGGAATAAAAAGGAAATACAAAAAGCAATATGTTATAGGATTCTCTTTTGAATGAACTGTTAAATTAATAAAGTTATTAAACAATGACTACATGGGAACTGTAGCATACGATTTTCCAGATTTCTGGTCTCCAGTCTCAGAATCTGTGCAGTTTACTCATTCATTCTAATACTGGAAGATCTAGAATGAAGATGTACTTATAACTACTTCGGGCTACTAAGTGAGTAAGGGCAAATTGTTCAAACTATCTGTGGGGTCAATTCACTAAGAGATAAATATTGCACTCATTTTTCTCTTAAAATAACTAATGCTGTATTTATCTCAAAAGTTGCCAGTGAATTAAAAAAAAATGTTATTTAACCACTTGCCATCCTGAGGATTTACCCCCCTTAATGACCAGGCCTCTTTTTGCTATTTGGCGCGGCACTAATTCAACTGTAATTGTTCGGTCATGCAATGCTGTACCCAAATTATTATTATTATACAGGATTTATATAGCGCCAACAGTTTGCTCAGCGCTTTACAATATACTGGGAGACAATACAGCAACAATACAGTTCAACACAAGAGGGTTAGGAGGGCCCTGCTCCTTGGAGCTTACAATACCCAAATTAAACTTATGTCCTTTTTTTCACACAAATAGAGCTTTCTTTTGGTGGTATTTGATCACCTGTGCGCTTTTTATTTTTTGCGCTATAAACAAAAAAAGACTGAAAATTTTTAGTTAGTCATAAATTTATGACATAAGTCAGTCATAAATTTAGGCCAAAATGTATTTCATGTTTTTGGTAAAAAAAAATCCCAATAAGTGCATATTGATTGCTTTGTGTGAAGTTATAACGTCTACAAACTATGGTATAGATACTGCAATTTACGCCATTTTGTTGCTATACAGCGCTGCACTAGTTTAACTGACAATTGCGTGGTCATGCAATACGGTACATAAATGAAATTTACGTTCTTTTTTCACACAAAAAGAGCTTTCTTTTGGTGGTATTTGATCACCTGTGTGCTTTTTATTTTTGGCGCTAACAAAACAATTTTTGAAAAAAAGATATTTTCTCATTTCTGTCATAACAAATATCCAAAAAACTATATTTTATCATAAATTTAGGCCAAAATGTATTCTGCTGCAGTTTTTGGTTAAAAAAAATCCCAATAAGTGTATATTGATTGCTTTGTGTGTGAAAGTTATATCATCTACAAACTATGGTATAGATAATGGAATTTAAACATCTTTTACTTTCTGACTGCCCATCACATT